ATATATATATATATATATATATATATATACAAGTCTTCCCAACGCTTATAGGTGAAAATGAACAGTGATTTCGTCTATCCTCATCATCGTCCAACGTACATCGTACGGTCACGATTGTCTAATAGTGTTTCATTTTTATTTTTTTTACAAATCAAAATGATCTGAAATTTGGAGCGTGTGTACATATTAGTGAGACGTACTTAAGAAGAATATAAAAAAAATAATTTGTAAAACTAAAAGTGACCAAAATACCTTGAAACTTTTTTGGGGTATTTTGATCATTTTTTTTCATGTAAAATATTTTTTTGATATTTTTCGTAGATTATTTTATTTTTATTTCAGGTTATTCCGATTTGTAGAAAAAAAATGAAAGTGACCATAAATGAACTTTGGATAGTGATGAGGGTAGGCGAAATCACTATTCATTTTCGTCTATAGGTGTTTTGTAGTACTTCATATATATATATATATATATATATATATATTACAAAAACACATATAGGTGAAGTTCTGCAGTATTTCACCTACGGTTTTATCACCTTTCAAAGTTTAACACACGGTCACAGATGTCTGATAGTATTTGAATTTTAATATTTTATTTACACATCATAATGATCTGAAATTTTGTAGGTGTGTGCGACTTAGTGAGATGCACATTAATAAAATATAAAACAGATAATTTGAATTATAACAATTATGTAAAATACTATTATAAAGTTTCAAGGGCAATTTCATCATTTTATTTATGACTATTATTTTGTTAATATTTATTTTGGTGAGACTTGGTCATATGTACTCACGCCTTAAATTTTAGATAAATTTGATTAGTACAAAAATTATAAAAATTTAAATACTATAAAAAATTATGGTCATGTGATGAACTTTGGACAGTGATGAGGTACGTATGAAATACTGTATAACTTTACTTGTAAGCATTTTGTAGATGCTTATGTTTATTTTTTGTATTTAATTTGTAAATGTACTTTTTGGATTTATATAATCTAAGATGCTACTGCAAATTATTTTAAGTGGGGTTAGATTTTTTGCATTTGCTAAAGTGACTGGTGAAAGGTATTGCTATGAAGTGACAATTGACAATCAGCTGTTACCAATCAAGGCAAGATAAATGTTTTACTGCAGCCGATGTTACGAGTGTGTTGGCTTTAATGCAATATATTGGTCATAGTTCTTGGCAAAAGACAAATACTTTCCTCGGTGAAAAGGGTTTTGCAATAAAGATGGTAGGGATAAGTGAAACTCAATCTTTATATGATAATGAAGCAACTTTTGCTTTCAAAATCTACTCACTCGATGGGAAATCTGGAATTTGAGCCTTTAAATTTGTATTTTAGCTATATAATCCTGAGAGCGAACAATTTAGAGAGAGAATTTGATGCGACCATCCTACCTTGTTTTAGCTCAAGGTGAAGGCCCTTGAAATGGCCTTCCAAGATTTAGGAAGAAAGTACATAATTTGAGTCAAAAGGGTTTGGTAAGTGGCTATTATCTACCTGGTTACATGAAGTACCTAGGCGTGGGCATGGTGTCCGAATTTGTGTGTTCAAGTATCTAGTACTTTGGTCTAAAATGTTTATATGGCTGGCATTCTATAACAAAACAATAAACTTTCCATTCATATATGGTAGATAATCTCTATTTCTTACATTTAGATGTGGTTGGTGTAGTGTAGACCACACAAATTTGGTGTGACACATCTTTGGTTGGCACTTTATCCTTGTGTTCCATACAATTTTTTAAAGGAAAAAGTTTATATAAGGTTGCAACTTTAAAATATAAAATTAAAAATGCACCTCAAAAATGTCATTTCATGTTGAAAAACGCTTTAATTAATCAACTTGACTGTCACGTGCCTATCCATGCTCGCTTGGGTGTAAAGCTATGGGAGATAGCTCTTATTCTTATCTTGGCTTGGAATGACAAGAAGGATGCACCAAATGTATTTCCTCACTCTCTTTGAAAAATTATTCCCCCTCCTCCTTTTCGCTCTCTTTTCTTATCGTGAATCTAGTATTTTAAAACCCAATGATTTTGAAACAAGGTTGCCTATCCAGTTTGGAATTATTTAGGATCGAACGGTTTTTAGGATGATATGTGTCCCAGTTCAGTTTCTCCTTAAATTGTTCATTGTTTTTTGTTTATTTTTTTCTAAGTTTATATAATGTTTTTTTAAGTTCCATCTAAATTTTTGCATCATAAACCTCTATTTTAATTTTAATTTAATTTTATTTATTTTTTAATATTTTTTTGGATCATTGATTCCGGTCGAAACTCGATCCAGATTATGAATCCAATGATTTGACACGGTGAACGATCCACCTATAGGTCCAGGTTTTAGAATAGTGCATGCATGGATCAAGTGGATGGGAACTTCGCAGGATCATTTCTCTAGTATGGATGCTCTCTTGGGTAATTCATGAATATGGGGTTTACCATTCGTGAATGGGCGGGCACGGGAACAGTTGAGATTATTCGTGAAGGTAGGGTAGGTCCAAACTAGGCCTTCGTGTTTGTGAAGGTCCCACCTTCACGCCATGATTGGAAGCTATTTAACATGGCCAGAGTGGTTTACGGGATTTTGCACATCAAGCGCAAGGCATGTGATGTATTTCTAAGCATTTGCTCTTTTAAGTCTTACCGTAAAAAGTAACTTAACTGTCAATTAAAACCATTTTTATTTTGCAACCACCTCTTACACTTGTATCCATAGTAATACTTATACGTATCCATAATTGTTTAACATAAATTCGAAGTTGATGACACTCATCATTATTGAATTCTTTGATCATGTGGATCACATATGGCTCGCAGTGGGTCCGCCCAGGCTGGCCGACCTTAGGCCTAGGCCTCAGCCCTATTCCCTTGAGGGCCGGCTTAGGTTTGGCTCAGCTTAGAACTAGCCAAAGATGTCCTGGCCCCAGCCCAGGCCCACGCTTGGTCCTGACCTTATTAGGGCCAAATAAAATTA